GCGCAACATTAAGTGCGTTTTTCGTGTGTACGGTCAAGTTTACTTTAAAGAATAAAACGTTAGCCAAAAAGTACCAGGCTAGTCAAAAATCGAATTCAGAGCATCACATCACATGACCAAAAACATGATACCGTATTTTCTCTAAAGGAGGAACACCCAAATCGTCAACTTTGAGCTCATATATCTCGGTTCTCGTGAAAGATATCAAAAAAGTGGTCAACTGATAAAATGTTTTTGATATTCTGATGAAAATTTTAGCTGTACACCACTTTTTGATGATAATTCAAAAACCGAGATACACGGGCTCAAAGCTGGGGTTTGGTCTATTAGAGTGTTTACGGTATATTCACATTTCTGTACCGATGGGGGAAAGTGAAAGTGCAGTGTGCGAATAAATTGAAAGCATCTACCGTAATCCAGTCTTTCAGTTTGAATCACATACAAAAATCCAGGTTCGTTATAGCCCGCGAAACAATTCCCTCCTCTATCATTCTGACTCATCAGTCCTCCGAAAATTGTTTCCCATGTTTTATTTTCTTCCAGGTCATTTTTAGCCGACCATCAACCATTCCAGTGACTCATTGGACATTTTGAAATTTTCGGACAATAACAAATACTGCCAAATCACAAGCTTTCCATCAAACCATTCCTCATTTTATGCATAGCTTTTCTTCTTTGCACTATCCCATTTCTCTCTTCCGCAAACTTTTTTTCTCAAGTCTAAATTTTTCGCAAATTATGTAGGCTTTATTAGTTTCCTTGCTTTCAACAAAAACTATCTTTTTTTTTAACAAATTCAAAGATTTTTCAATTTTCTTCCTGCCTAGTTCCTTCTAAATATCAATGTGCCGTACTTCCTCTGATAGAATCCCACACAAGTGGTCTACGTTGAGCTCAATTATCTCAATTCCTGTGAAAAAATCGAAAAAAATGTATTTTGATAAATTATCTATCATAAAATTTCCAATGTTTTATCAATTGACGTGTTTTAAATGTCTTCCAGAAAAATTGAGATAATTAAGCTCAAAATTGACAGCTTGGGTGAGCTTCTATCAAAGAAAATACGGCAGAATTTTTTCTAGGTAACATAAACGGAAACGAGGATGAGAGCAATAAAGAAAACATTGATCCGAACTTCCTAGTTTTTGGAAACTTCCTAGTTTTCGATGAAGACAATGAAGACGATGAAAACGAGGAAGGCGAATATTTTGTACAGGATGGGGAATATGATAATGCAGACGAACTGGTCCAAGAAATGTACGACCTTCAGATTTATGGTGATTCATCATCTGATGAATCGAATAGTGATGATGAGTCAAACGATGAGGAGATCATAGAAGCTGAGAATCGCGAGATTCGCCAGGAAATTGAAGAACAATTAGATTTCTTCAGAAACTTCATGGCGAACAGAAATGGTCAGAATGTAGAGGTGAGGAAAAAGCTTTTTTCAAAACTTACAAGACCTGTCAAGGGTTTGCGAATCATTCTCCAGTCTTTTCAAAAAAAATTTCGGGGTCAATAGAAAAAAGAGACGAGTTTTTTTTTGTCAAAAAATATGCTTGCCAAGAACGAAGTGTCATAGAAAATATTTTTCATTTTAAAAACCATTTTCATTTTCTACAGTAATTCTTTTTACAAATATGATTCCGATTTCTCCGTACAGTTTTCATTTTGAATGTCGATTTTTGTTCTACTGTAGTCAGCTTGATTTTCGTGAAATCTTAGGGTCAACTTTGAGCTCAATTATCTCAATTACTGTAGAAGATATCAAAAAATAGTTAACTGATAAAAAGTTTATCATAACGTCACCAACAACTATATTGTTCACAAAGTTTTGATGTCTTTCACAGAAATCGATATAATTGAGGGCAATTTGATGTTTACGCTGGCATTCTAAAAGATTCGAAAATGAAAATGACTATTGTATTAAGCAAGAGTGAGGCTTAAGCTGTCTCATGAGTTGGTTTTTCTGAGAATGAGAATTTTCCGGCCTCGGCCAAGCCTACGGGCTGCACCTAGATTTTTCAAGTAACTCTTCCAGTTAATCTAACTTTTTTGAATTTTCAGCCACAAGAAGAACTCAATCGTAACGAAATGCCTATGAATGAAAATGCAAGATATGGAGAAAACGGTGAAGGTGAAGTTGGTGTGGAAAACGATGAGGATGACGAGTGGTCGCAAGCACAATTTGCTCAGAATAACAGCTTATTGAATCTCGAGGTGAGTAAAAACTGTGAATGCAGACTATATATCCAATTATGAGAATTTCAGCCCAGTGAACATCAAGAACGCAATGAGACAGCGGAGATCGGAAATGATGGTATGAATGACTGGCCGCTTGAAATTCTTGCACGAACGTTCCGAGTTGAACTAAACGTAAGTTGGAGTGAAGCTCTTGATGATTCTGAAAATTTATTATTCAGGTCCTAGAAATGGCCATTGAACTGGAAGCGGTCGTCGAACAATTTGAAGCTAATGAATTCGAAAACGAGGAGTTCTGAGCAGTTCACGAAGTTTTCCTCTATTTTTCCTAAGAAAATTTTTGATTCTTCCTATGTCTTTTTTGTTGTTTATCTTATGTTTGTCTAATGTGTCCAGTTTTTTAACGGCTTTTAAATTTCAATTGAAATTCGAATATTTTTTACGGCTCTGAATCTTTTTTCTAGTTACAAATATTTTTCAAATGGCTTTTCAACTTAAGCAATTTCACAAAATACGCCAATGATATTCAATAATATCTTTGTATAATACCTCATCAAACAGATATACTTGCCAATAGCGGAAACATCGAATAATTGATATCTTTCGTTTCTCTGTGTTCTTCAAAATGAGAGCGGAAGTGTATGGGTGGTCTAAAAACTCTTGGGCAGTTGAATAGCATGGAGATATATCGTTGAGCATGAGTTTAAACGTACATAGTAGCGATCAATATGACATTCAAATACGTATTTTTTTGTTTTTTTTTTGCCCTTTTGACCATTTTCAGGAGTTGGAAGCTGGACTGCCAAGTTTCTGAACACTTTGATATGTTTGGAAAATGAAAAACAGGCCTAGATTGAAAGTTCACAGAATTTCTTTAAAATTTCTAGAATTCTAACTACTTGCCGATTTCTGTAAGACACCCTTTTTTGACCCTTGTTGGACTGAAAACATGTAAAAAGTCTTCCAGGAATCTGCAAATAGCTGTAAAATTAAAAATTTTCAAAAACTTTTAAGAATTCAAAGTTTTCAATTTAAAACTGTTTTACACCCTCCAAAATTTTCAAAATGATCGGATACTTGAAAGCAGAGCTCCATCCCTTCTAAAAATGCCCAAAATCAACTGAAAATTACTTTTTTCGCATATCTGATTGAGAGCTACTGTATTTTGAACATACTTCAAAATCTGTAATATAACGCCACCTGTAATAGAAAACCCCCTCTAATATAACGCCACTCTTATAAGGTCCATGGAGGTAGAAGAACACAGTTTTTATGCTTGATTAACAGAGTAGCAGGGAAATCTAGAAATTTCGCACCAGTTTTATTCATTTTGGTACTTTGTTAAGCAGACAAAAAAAAACGGATTTCTGTTACCTCGCATCATCCCAAAACATCCTTCTGAAAAATAGAGCGCCATGGCGCTCTATAGGTTTTACGGTATTCGGCATGCTTCCAACTATATTTATGCTGAAACTGAAATGGTAGCTTGCCAACAGATAACCTTTTTCTATTCCATTTTATTTTCGAAACTTCCATTCTGATTAGCCCGCACAAATCATGCAAACTCGGATAAATCAAGAATCTACCTAACCTTTTAAATCATTTCAATAAACTTTATATGCACTTTATGATACTCACTTTTATCATTTCTCTGATTCTCTACTTCTAACACAGATTTCTAAAGTGTCACAAGTAGTGAGGGAGCCAATCAGTTGAAAAATGTGAATCACTTCGTTTTAAGCCCCCGCTTTATTCCCTTCAGGGATCTTTTTCCGAAGTTTCCCGAGTTGTTTGCGTCAATACCTCGTGATCATTACTTGTCTCACTTAGAAGAAAGTTAAAGAATTATTTTTCATTTCTTGAAATTTCGGCTACCGAGAGGTGGTTTTGATTTCCAATTGCGGCGGAGACACCGTAAGACCTGTATTAGAAGGGCCGGTTCTTCTATTGTTTTTGAGGTATTTTGTTGGAAGAAAGTAACTGTCCATTTGTTAATTCGTGAATAACACAAAAACAAGAACTATCCAATAATGACAGCATGCACCGTCGTGGTCCACGACACGTTGACAACATTCTGGCAACTTGAGGACACCATACCTCCAAAAGCCAGCTGGCCGTGAATCAAAGTATACCTTCCCGGACGTTTTTTTTTTCTCATCGACAGTGTGAAATTATTTTCTCTCCAGATGACGTTGAATATCTCCGAATAGCCAATAATAAAAGGGTCGAGTCTGGAGTTTGAGGAAAGTGAAGATTCCTCCTTTACGCACTTAACTCCTGATTTGGCCCTTTCATTATTGATTATTAAGAAATATGTAACGTCATCTGGAGGGAAATAATTTAACACTAAAGTTGATATAAAATCTGGACTCAAAAAATACTTTGATTCGCAGCCAGCTGGCTTTGAAGGTATGGTATCCACAAGTTGCCTGAATGTTATCAACATGTCATGGACCGCGACGGTGCATACTGTCAATCTTGGATAATTCTTGTTTTTGTGTTTTTCACGAATCAAAAAATGGACAGTTACTGTCCTTTCAACCTAGTACATTTTGTAAAGCATCTTGTAACATGGGGGGGGGGGGGGTTCACATAGGAGGCCCTTCTATGTTTCTGGGTAGATTTTCCCAAAAATGTCTCCCTAAAATTTAACAAGGGAATCACATCACCTTGTAAACCCAGATTTTGACAACAATTTTCATAATATGTTTAAATTATCCTATTTAGACACCTCTGAAAACTTTAGAATCCGCACGATAGTTTCAGCCTAGTTATGTCAATTTTAGTACCGCAAAATCGTATCTTCAGTGCAAACCCGACTATTTTCAAAGACGATTTTCTCAATTTCTGAAACGTTCCAAAGCATGAGCGTTAGTAAAATTTCATATTTCAGACATTTTCTCAAAAAAAATTTTATCATGGAAAAAGTAGAAAGAAGTTTTTTTTTGAGAAAACAGTTGAAATATCAATTTTTCTATAATTCCAAGTATAACACATCCATGTTCTAAAACGCCCTAGAAGTTGGCAAAATCGTCTTCACAAGTTGCTATTTTACACTAAAATTGCGATTTTTGGCACTGAAGTTGATATAACTCGCCTGAAACCGGGTAGACCGGATTTTGAAATTTTCTGAAGTGTTTTTGAGGTGTTTCCTGGGTTAACAAGTTATTTATGTTCTCCTGTATAGATTGGCCATGACGTCTGACTAATAGCCAAAGTTAGAGACTTTTCTAGTGACGCTTCTTCCAAGACCCCAGGAGAATTAGGTATTGACGTCAGTGTAGAAAAGCATACCTCAACTTTTCTATTTTTCTATTTTACAAGGGAACCATGTTTAGCCTTCATCTCAGAATTTTTTTCTAAATTCGCTCATTCATAGTTTCGAATACGGGCTTTCTCATGGTGTATTTGGTTTTCTGCACAAATTGATAGAAGTCGAGAAAATTCCATCTGAAAATATGCTGTTTCTTTGCTCTCCTCCTTCCCTTCCACTTTCTCCCCTTTCCTCTATACATTCTCCACTGTGGAAGAAACAGTAGCCGAGTGGATAGTGGGGATGAATAGGAATCATAAGTTTCGGGTTCGATTCTGTCATTTTCCATTTTCGTTTTTCTTTTTTTCTTCTTTGATGTTGGAGGAACTCTTTGCATTTTTCGAAAATCAAAAATATGTTTCATTTATTATTTGAGTAGGGAAAACCTCGAAAAAATCGATATATTTTGAGAGAAAAATTCATTTTGGACTTGTTTCGAAAACCTGATCTACTCAAAATGTCACTCGAAACCTCCCGAATTGATCATATTGGTTGCGGAACTGTTATAAATCAGTCAAGAGGTATGTAAATCTATGTTTTCACAAGATTTGAGTGCTATTGGGTGATTTTCGAAGGACTACGATTCTTACAAGTTTCGGAAGAAATCACTTATTTGGGATTTCAAAACGGATATAGGCTACAGAATTTTGTGAAAAGACTCATTTTATCATTTCCATGCGTTTAAAATTCATTTTAGCCCATTTAAAATTTATTCGAAAAATTGTAAAATTTTGCAAAGGGCAAAATTTTGGCAAAACTGTTTCAAAAAAAAATTTTTTTTGAAAAATGAGGAAACATTGTCAGATTGTAGACAAACTTTTAAAATTACGACTGACACACAAAAAATGTCGAAAAACTCTCGTTAACCTTTTCAAAAACTCACTCCAAAAGTGAGAAATTAGTACTGAAATCACTTAAAAAGCCCATAACTCGACTTCTAGAAATTTGTGCAGAAAACCAAATACACCATGAGAAAGCCCGTATTCAAAACTATAAATGAGCAAATTTAGAAAAAATTCTGAGATGAAGGCTAAACATGGTTCCCTTGTTAGATTTTTTTATTATCCCATTTATTTCTACGCTCATAATACATTTTCTTTAAAGCTTGAGTCAAAACTTAAAATTTCGTTTTTCCAGTTCAACTACTCACTGCAAACATGAGCCAACCAATTCCAACTCTCAACCTTCCGGACCACAAGGAGATCGTCGATGACGAAAGCCCAGAAGACGATCTCGGTCTGCCATCACCGACGACGAATTCTGTTGCCACCAATCAAAGAAAGTACTCGAAGAACTTGGAAGAATTCTATGGCAATCCGATAGGCATGGAGGAGACTGCACCGGTACCACAAAATGGAAATCTTCTGAGCGCCACCGATGGCAACAATATGGAGGTTGCTGGAGCTTCTTCCGAGAACCGCCAGAAGTTGCGCTCATCGATGGAGAAAAAGAAGGAAGCTCACGGTGAAGAATTGATTGACTTCAAGACTGCATTGGGAGACGACGAGTATTTCGACTCCCAACGTCACCGTGGTGGACATCAAAGTAGGGCTTCTACAAGTCTCGGAGGCTCCATGAGCGCTCGGAGCACGGGTTCTTCCGTGTTTGAGCAAGGACAGGCAGAGGATCGCTCTGAAGAAGGATGGCTCTCATACCGTCCGGCAGCAACCACGCTCTCCAATTTCATAGCATGGGTGGGCTTGCATTTTTAGTTTCTTCATATCTGAATGTTTGTTTTGCAGTGGAGCTCTCCCTCTTCAAATTGAAATGCTATTGGGAAAACGCTGCTACAGACTTTCTTCATTGACGCCATCTCCATCCGACGCTTCATCAACCGCCACCCATCCTGCATCGCGAGCACAATTGTCTTTTTCTGTCCAATTTTTTTTTCTGAATTGAAATCTCTTCTATCCTCAATTTCCTCATAATCCATAAACATCTCACCGTTTTCATTTTCCCTCTCTTTTCAATTTAATCCTCTCGATGTTGCCCGTTCAACTCATCTCATTCCGAAATTATTCTGAAACAATAAAATTTGAAGCGTCCCGTTTTGTGTTTTCCGCCCACCCCATAATTGAGTTGAATTCTCAGTGTTACTTGAACAAAGTTAAACCACTCTTTTCAGTTGTAAGGTTCGCTGAGCTGTCAAACAAACAGAGAGGATCACAGCAAGTAACCTTCCTTCTGCGATCACTACTCCATCCATCAGACAAGTACATATAATAACGAATTGATGAAAAATTAAAAAGGCATAATGAAAAATCAAATATCGTGAGGCTCACCGTACTATTTGTCATCAAAATACTTTAAAACACATTTCATTGTCAGTGTTCTTGTTGTAGAATCTTCTTGTTCTGTTTCATCCGATGTTCGTGTCGTCGAAAATGGGCTGGTGGCTCTTTCACGCCGACAGCAATATTCTTCTTGGCCGAGCAGGTTTACATCGTCTATGCAATTCTGACTTCCAGCAACAAACAAAACGGCAATATAATCCGCATTTTCAGCCGGCTGGATATACGGAAACCATCGAAGCTGTCCACCATTATCCTTTTCATTGTTGTCCCCATTGCAAGTCTTCGAAAAGGATTCAAAATGGCATTCGATTTTCATTGAGCAGCGACCATGGCAGCTGTAAATTTTTTTGTTCGCGGCCTGAAAATAAATATCATTACAACTTAAAACGGAAAATGAACATCAGATAGTGTTGAATTGTGGCGAACCTTAAGTATCACATGAATTGTTACTCCTCCTCCACGCAAAGTAGATTTTTCCGATCTTTATCTTGACTGATCCATAAATTCCAGCAACTCTGCGAGCTTATGCGATTGTATTAAATTAATGTGAAATATTTTGTTTTCAGAGGTTTCTTCGGGCTCCAGTAGCTCTCATCATCACGATTGGAAGGAGAAGAGTGACAAAGATTTCTTCATTTTGAACAGAAAACGCGATGATGTTCTTTGTTGTTTCACCGCCAAGTCTTCGTTGTTTTCATTTAGAAGATCCTTCGCCCTTCGTTTTCCGCAATGAGTCACTTTTGAAATTGTCGATGAGCATATTCCGCCAATAATGTGCTGTTTTGTTTCATCGTCTAAAAGCAGATTACATTGAAGCGGGGGAAGTGACATCAGACAGTGTCGCATTGTGACTAACACGAATTGACACTCAACTAATGAAATGTCCTCCAAGCGATTCAGTTTTTTTTTTTAATTTTCATCTCGACTGGCAAATAAATCTCAAAATTCTACGAGCAGATGCGGTCGTATGAAATTGGTGAGAAGCATGCCGAGTTCGATGCTATTTTGGCTCCCAGTAGCATCATCGCAATCGAAGAGAGACCAAAAACTCGATGATGCTCTTCGTTGTTTCACTGCCAAGTCTTCGGTGTATTGATTCAGATCCTCTTTTGTCCTTTTTTTCAGCAACTAACCACTTTTTAAACAATCGGTAGAAGAATCCGCCGATAAAATAAAAGCAGCGATTGAAACAATTGCCATCAATTATCGCCAAATCGGTTAGCATTTATTTTTTTTTGTTGAGAATGGCACTTCATTTAAAGGACTGAGTTCCCTCAACTATCTTCATGCTCCAATTCAGGTTTTAAGCGTCAGTACCACATCCTCACGACCAAGGGTGCCTTCAATCACATTCATGCCGATAGATTCTGTTTTGTCTTCAGCAGTGTCTTGTAAATGATGAGGACAACCGTCGCTTCAATCTGTGCACAATATGATCCTCTGAATTCTTCTTCGAGAAAATTATGAATTTTTGAAAGAATGTTAGCAAATTGAAAAATGAATTATCATAAGCCTCACCGTGTATTTTGTCTATCTATTCAAATAACTTCACTTCGATGTTCAGCACAAAAACACCAAGAAATAAAAGAAAATTTCATCAAAACCACATCATCTCATCTTCATTCAATGGAAGCAAACGCGCTCCATTGAAATATCGACCGGAACACCACATAACAGCAAGGACGAAGAGGGCCAAAGAAGACAGGAAAGAACAGAGCATAGAATAAAGAACACAGGTTGGCAAGGAGGTAGAAAAGAAACAAAGATGAGAGGGGAGATGGGTCTTTGGAAGCTAAGACAAACATTTATTTACGTGCTGAGATCCTTTTTGTTGATATACATAAAATGTACCTTTAAAATTCTACTGTAAAACGTTTGGCTTTTTTTTCATCTTTTTTTCAGTATTTTCCTGGACTAATAGGTACATATTGGGTTTTTTTCAGAGCCTGGTCACCCGAATGTCAAAAAACGCCCAGGAAAACGGAAAAATTAAGAGGATCAAAGAAGCAGTGAAAGAAGAAAAGGATGCGATTCAGAAATTCCCAATGTTGAAGCTACCGGACCTGGTTCGAGAGACCGTTATCCGGTTGATGGATCCTGTCGAAATGTAAGTTCTGCTAAAAATCGACACAGATTTAAAAAACCGGCTATTTTACACAAAAATTTTGAAATATTCCAGATTCGACTTTTCTCAAATCTCCAAACGAATGCATCGAACTGCAAAACGGTCAGTCCGCCACAATACATATCACCTCCATTTACAAGCCGGGCAACTCTATCAAGCAGCTCTCTATCCCCCGACTTACCCAGAAGTTCCAGCAGAACCAGCTAGATTTCGAGTTCAACAACTAGATGATGACACGGCAAGAGCACCGACCAATGTCAGGAAACTTGGAAATTTCCAAAAGATTCGTTGCCATTTCCAAGAGAGTGGATTATATTTCTTCCATAAATCTCATTGGTAAGTCACGAAGGCGTTGGTAGCAGAGCTCCAGAACCTGATGACGATTAAATTTCAACAAGTTCGAATGTTCCTCGATTCAGTAAAAAGTCGAGATCATCGATCTTTGATTGAGTGGCTCAATGGTTTTCAGAATGGAATCAAGTTCTCTTACATCTCCGGAGATTCAGTGAGCAATGAGAATATGGTGGATTTGATGCAAACTTATCAATGCAGCCATACCCTTCGATTCTACGGACGGCTGAATGAATTTGAGATTGATCCTTTGCCCCTGAAAGCGACAGATTTGAGAATTGATCATTCGCATTGGATGACAGTTGAAAATGTGTTATAATTGGAAAGTGTTGTTGCATTCAAGTTGGGAAATGCTCGTCATTTTACGGATAATGATTTCAATTCAATTTTGAAAAGGATCATCTTGGGAGCCCTTCCGAAAATGGTTTATGCTCATCTTGAACTAAAAAGGACATACGATAGAGATGTTATTTGCCAGGATATTCCAATGATTCAAGAAAATAGTGAGCGTTTATTTAGGTGAGCATTTTCGAAATTTATTTATCAAAATTGATTTAATTAAACAAGAAAAAACTAAAAGAGCTTGGAGATCTCGAAGTTTCTTTAAAAATCGAAGAAATTCTCTTTGCAAAACTTCAGTGCAATAAAAAAACTGAAATGTTCAGAAATCTTTTGATGCTTTTCAAATGCGTTTTTCAGAAATTTCCCAACAAAAATTCTCCATTTTTCCAGCCGCTACACATTGCACGCGGACATTGGTGGATTCCACTTCAATCTGGTAAACGGAGATCTTGGATCCATCTAATGCAGAAGCAGGAATGCTATCGACAGGTATTGGAATTATCGTGTAGAACCCCGATGCTTGATTTCTATTCTTTTTTATTTTTGTCTGTATGTTGTTTGCATCGATTGTCGATAATATTTTGTGTAATAGTATATATTTACGACGTTGAATCTCGAACCCAAAAAAAAAATTATCGAACGTCTGTACATACGTCTTATTTCAAATCCAATTCTGAATTTTCAACTAATCCAAAAAACCATAGTATTTGAACAAAAATGTTTGATCTTCCTATTTAAAATTAGTTTTGAATTTGCAACTAATGAAAATAATACCTTGAAAGAGATATTATTATTGTTCAGCGCCGATGAACCTTGCGGTCGAAAATATACATCAAAACTTATCGTCGGTCGAGCAGCGAAAACACTACGGTATTTTTCAAATTAATGTATGCGCCTTTAAACCGTACCTCATTATTACCGTATTTCCTCTAATAGAAGCCCACCCTCTAATAGAAAACTACTCGAGTGAATACGGTAATTCCGTATTCCAGAATTTTTGAAACTGATATTTTAGAACTCGACAATTTCTATCAATTTCTGAATTTTCTAATTTCTAAATTCCGGAATTTCAGTTTTTCAGTTTTTTTAGAAATAATTTTTCCTTAGTTTCAGTATTCCTGAATTTTGAACTTTGAGATCCTGGAATCTTAGAATTTCATAATTTCGAAAATTTGAAATTTAGAGATGCAGAATGAAATTTTAGAACTCTTAAAAACACTGATTTTCATATTTCTGAACTTCCGAATTGACATGTTTCTGAAATTTCGAAAACAAAATTTTGAAAATAAATCATTGAAAAATAGAAGCTTACATTCTTATTAAAACCCACCTCTAATAGAAGCCCACCCTGAGGAAGAGGTTGAAAAATAGAAACCCGTGGGCTTTTATTAGAGGAAATACGTTATTTTAATTTTTTTTTTTGTTTTTTTCTTCCATTTTTTGCTAGTTTTTGTCAATTTTTGTCTAATTCTTTTTGAACGTTAATTTATTACCCTTATAAAACGTAAAAACAGTCAATTTTGGGCCCAAAATATATAAATCGTGCGGTACGGTTTAAAGGCGCATGCATTAGCTTTGAAAATACCGTAGTGTTCTCGCTGCTCGGCCGACAATAATTTCTGATCGATATTTTTGGCGGCAAGGTTCATCGGCGCTGAACAAGAATAATAGTATTTGAACAAAAATGTTGATCTACAAGTTTTGATCTTCACGCGGGAGAGGGTATTTTACAATTTCTGCGAATCGTTTGAAATAGGTTTCAATAGATGTTAGCAGTCATCAAAGCGTGTAAAACTGAAAAATTCAGAAAACAAGTGTCATTTTTCTTGCAAAAGGGGTTTCTACTGTTGCGAAAAGGTTCGGTGTGCTTTGTGACGTGTTTCTCAACATTTTTATGCTCTCTCTCTCTCTCTTTTTTTGTTTCTCCAAGATTCAATTCTTTCGAAAAAAATATGATTGCAGATGTAGCTGATGGGCGCAAACCTTGGAAGAATGAGTTTCACATGAAATATACATCATTCTCCCTTAAAAGCCGCAAAATGAAGCTCGACAAGTCCGACTTCATAGATGGAAGGATATGGGATTGAAGGAGATGAGGGGAAAGAGAGTGGCTATGATCGCCACAGATTTGTTTTTGAATTGCCAAAATTGTGAGTATTAGTTTTTTTTTCGGAATCTTTTCTTCATGATAAACATTTCAAAAAAATTCATGTGAAAATATTTTGAATTCTTTCCAGGTTATTGCCTACTGGCCAAAAAAATCTCAGCGATGTGGTTCATCTTCTCTAGGTTCATCTTCTCTAGGTTCATCTCGTTAGGGATTTTATCTAGAACTCCCGTTATAACTTTTGTGCCATGTTTTCTTCTGATCAATAAATTATCAATTATCAATGTGTCCAAAATTGGCCAAAATCAGGGAGACGAGGATTTGCGTAGAAAACAACTCTGATCAACGGGATACAAAGAAGAGGAAGATCAGGGTACCGAGCAGGGATGTGCGTAAAATTTTTATTTTACGAATTTCGTAAAACATAAAATTTTACGAATTTCAAGGTCGTAAAATCGTAAAATTCGTAAAATCCGTAAAAAACTGAATATCCCCTTGACATGGAAAAAAAACTGCAGTTTTATTATCAAGCAATTGGCAAATGGTCCGCAAATGTTGAAAATCATAGAACCGAATGCTTTTATGAGGTTTCAACAATTTTCTATTTTTTTTTCCTTAAAAATGCTAAATTGTGAAAAAATTCATTCAAATTTGGAAAAAAAAATATTTTGAAAATGAAGCAAATTCATGCTTTAAAATGAGATGTGAGCATAAAATCAACTCAAAACTAGATCAAAAACATGAAAATGAACCGGAATACTGTCAATTCTGAACAAAAATGGTGAAAAAACACTCATCCAGTTATTACGAATTTTACGGATTTAATTTTACGACACTCGTAAAATTTTACGAGTACCAAAAAACCTTAAAATCCGTAAAATTCGTAAAATTCGTAAACGTAAAAACACATCCCTGGTACCGAGCTGGCTTAGAAAAAGTCTTTCAAAGTCAGTTATTCCAAATGCCCGGCGTGAATCAACAATTTGGTAATTTTCAGGAGCCAGATGGAACATTCAATCTGGATGGACTTGGATGAAGAACGTCATTTTCTCGGAGGTCTTCCGGGATGCTTGTGGGATTGATAGAAACCTGATCCCAAGAAAAGCGAAACCCAGCTATTGAGGGACTTAGAAATGCCCGGCTTCGCTTATGGGAAAAAATGGAGGAAGAATGAGTTTCCCATGAAGTACACGTCATTTTTCCTTAAAGGCCTGAAGCTCGACAAGTCCAACTTCAGTGATGGAAGGATATGGGATTGGAGGAGACAAAGGAAAAGCAAGTGGATATGGACTTGTTTTTAGATTCACAAAACCGTAAGTTTTTTAAAAAGAAGTTTTGTTCGAGGATCATTTTTTATGCCAAAAATTTAAAAAAATGCATTTGCTAATATTTTGAATTCTTTCCAGGTTATCGTCTACTGGCCACCAGAACGATAAGCGATGTGTATCCAGAATTTGCGGATGCCAGAAAAGCCCGAATTTGCGTTCAAGACAAAAATTATCCTCCACGGATGGAAAAGATGAACGAACTTTCGCAGTGAGTTATTCCAAAAACACGGTGTGCATTACTATTTTGGTAATTTTCAGAAGCACCATCAAAACCAAAACGTCTGAAGATGAAAAATGCGATCTGGATGGACTCTGAACTCAATTCCTTTTCATCGGCGCCATCCTCGTCTTTTTCACATGTAATCTAAAATGGAATATCTACAACTGCATTTTTTCGGAGAAATTTAGATATTTTGTGCGCTGGACGCAAACACCCGTTCACAAGAAACATTTGTTTTTGGAGTCACAAAATCGTTAGTTTTTTAAAAGGAAGCTTTGTCGGAGAATCATTTCTTTATAGCAAAAATCAGAAGAAATTCATTTGAAAATATCTGTAATTCTTTCCAGGTTATCATCTACTGGCCTCCAGAAAACGTCAGCAATGTCTCCAGCACTTGTGGACACCAGAAAAACCGATATTTGCGTCCAAGGCTAAGGTGGTTCTCTACGGATGGAACGAAGGAAAATCAGGGTACCGAACTGGCTCAAGAAAAGCCTTTCGATGTTAGTTTTTTTTCCAAAAACACGAGACGAATTAACGATTCGGTAACTTTCAGAAGCCTTCAACTACCAAAACGGCCGGAGATGAAAAATTTGATGTGGATAGAACTGGATTCTTAAGTCTGTTCTCCTTCATCATCTGGATCATCTTCTCCAATAAAATACAACGATTATGAATATATCCGAAAATGGAGCATGTACAACGGATTTTTCTCGGAGGCATTTTGGGATGATTGTGGGCTGGACACAAATATGGAATGCAGTTCGGCCTGGATATCAGTACCGACTTTAGAGACATCATGGTAGATCGTTTGATATCCCATACGACCCAAACCAATAAAAAGATGATAAGTGAATGATTATTTCCTCTCTTTTTTTCTTCTTTCAGTTGTATAATCGGTGGTACGACGGATTGGTGATTTCCTAGAATAAAACTGTAGCAAAATGAAATATTCCTAAGTCAAAAAAGTTCCAAATTGAAAACTGTAAGAAATCAGAATTGTCCAGAAGTGGAAAGTGGAAGGAATAGAAACGCACAAAGTGGAATTGTTCCGTTTTGGACAGCTTTTAGCCATAGAGCGCGCATGCACTCAATAATAAAAAACATTCATTTTTTCGCGTTTTTTCTCAATGAAAAGGGGAACTCAATGCCTTTTTATATACGATTTTATCCGTTTTCTTAAAAAATTCGATAACAAATCCATTAAAATAAGTTTCAGCAATTTCTCGTCAAGCAACTTAGTTATTTTCAACTTAGTTATAATTCGATTCTCAACCGTTTTTCGCCAATTTCAATGTTTTTTCAGCCATGGATTTCTCTTCCTCATCACCGAAATCTTTCGTCTGATTCGGCGCTTGCCAAAAAAAGTATGCATTGTGCAAAAATCGACTAGCAAGTACAAAAAGACATCGAAAAGTCGTTCCCAAGTCTGCAGTTCGTTTTTTCTTAATGGATATTGTATTGATTTTCAAATTTTTGGCTAAGCCCACTCGATGATTTTTAAATGGATTGGCCAGCGAAAATTGTGATACAAAGACAGAAAAATGTAGAAGGAAACACATTCAACGACCCATTTCTCGTGGGAAATTCTGTAAAATTTACATCGTTTTTTTGTCAGAAAAATCAATAGTTTCAGCAACAAGCCACATCATCTCTCTACGTTTCCAATGCAGTTTCGGATTGGTGTAAAGGAATGTGTTCGAAGAAAACTCCAAAAATTTTGAGGACAAAAATCGAAGTCATCTTTTACTGTATTCGTGATATGGGTAATTAACAAATCGATTATTGTTGAAAATTTGAAAATTTCTCTTTTCCAGTCTTTCCATCGCTTCGAACCATCGTCCAATGTATTCTCATCCTTCTGGCCATCAACGCTATACTCAGTACTCTTTCAGAGCTCTGATTTTTAGTTTCTCCTTTCTCAAATCTTATTTGTCACCGTTTTATGTTCTTGAATTTCTTACTTGAATGAATAAAATGTTATTTTCCATGCAAAAACTAATCAAAATAAATATAAAATCATTGATTTCCCTTTTTCATTTGAAAAAAGTACTGTTGAAAAATTTCTTTCGTGTTTGAATGCATGCGCGCTCTATTGCTAACAGCTGTCTAAAACGGGACAATTCTACTTCAGGACAATTGCGTTTTCATTCCGGAACTATTTTAATTTGGGAGTATTTCGTTTTAGGAAAATTTCATTTTGCTACAATTTCATTCTAGGAAATCTCCAATCCGTCGTATCACCGTATAATCACAGTTGAATTCTTATCACATTCACATATCTCTTAAAAATCTGAATTTAAATAAAAATGTTGTAAATATCAAATGTTTGTTGTATTGACTATATCCACAAAGACATTAAAAATGAGTCGCACTAGGTGGAGACAGACATACAGCTTTCATTATCTGAACACCATGCATCAGAAACTTAACATCACCTAACTACTGTGGAGCAGTTGAAGCAACATGAAGAAAAATAGAATTTTCAAAATAATTACAGTTTCTAAATTGAAAAAAAATTTCTGTGATTCAAAATTTCATAGTAGCCGAGAAAAAAGAATTTACGCGGCTAAAATGATTCAATTCATGCCAGCAAGCCGAATTTGAAGGCTAAAAAACGAAAAAGCTAGCCGGAATAAACTGCCAAAACGTGGAAAATATTTCTGAATTTTCATTTCGCTGTGGAGAAATTAGAATGATCTGATTGAATAATAGTAGTTTAACTTTTTTGGTTTCATTCACATTTTGTGAATTTTGAAAGACGTATCCAAACAACTGAACAAAATATCTGTTAACAAAGTTCAATTTTATTTAATTCAAAATTTTTTCTATGCCGTTGTAGGATTGAGAATCATGAATAAAAAAATAAAAAAATTGCAATAAAAGCAAAAAGAGGCATCAGAGAGAGAACGATTGGTTGTTAGTTTATTGTTCAATCACTTTCTTGTTTGCATCCAAAAATTGAAGGAACGGCACCGGTAGGTTACATCCCGCTTGCAGATGCATCGGATCAAACTTTGCGATGGAATTGCTGGCTTCTGCAGTTGATACGCCTGTAAAGAAAAATGGATTAAATATAATCTTGTATCATTAATTTTACCTCTTGAAGGCACAGATTGACCAAAGCGTGTTTCGGGTGTTGCTCTTCAAACATTTTTATCATGTTTTCGTAGTTGTCGGAAGACATATCAACTCCATTCACATGGAATGACTCGAAGTTGTTGGCGGCAGGCATATAAGAGCACAGTTCAAAAACAGGCTTGCTCAAAGAGTAGTTCCCATCTTCGGTGGGCTCCCAGCATCTGAGGAGTCCAGTGGCATCTTGCTTGGCTTGTTCAACCGTGTTGAGAGCGAGAGTGGCCATTGGCGAGAGGAGAACGGTGGAAGCAAGAACCACACGAGAGAATGAAAACATGTTCTGGAAAATTTTCAAGTTTAGTTGGAATGGATCTTTTGAAAGAGGCAACTGACAGGATGAAAAAGTTCTGGGTGTGAGGTTGTTAGAAGGAAAACATTGAAGTGCTGTGCCCTTGTCACTTCGTTTTATACTGGAAATTTCCTTGGGGTAGAGGCGGCGCCAACACCCGTGCCGGGCGCGGATTGAACCGAGGGAAAGAAGATGACCCCTCAACTCCGCCCATTTTCTGGAGCCAAATAACGGGAAGCAGAAAAAGAGACGAGCCAAAGAATCGGAAACAAATTTCGGATAGTTGAGGGACTCATTAAAACATCGATGTTGCTGAACACATTTTGAAAAATGCGCGGTTGTCACGACAAATTTTGGAATGATTCTAATAGGGAGCAAAGATACACAAATTTTGACTTCTGAGCTCTGTCCCGAAATGTATCTTTTCAGTTCTCGGAGCTAATTCGGAGAAGAAAAGCATCCATCCGAAAAACACCAGGTATTGGAGAAAGAATAATAACAAACTCTAAATTGACCAGCAAATAATTCGGAGGGTAGGGAGCACAACGTAATTTAGGAGTACAAAATCCAAAGTTTGTGGGTAAATATTCTGAATTTCTAGATTATTTCTTTCACACTGTCAGGTATTTTGTTATGTTCTGTTTTTATATCTGGAAGATGCTCAATGTTTTATTTACCCACTTCAAACAACGAATAATCTTCATTTCCGTTCATTTGACACTCGGGATATTAAAGGTGGTGTGCGGTGAAAAATTTTATTGCTTTATTTTGTGCAGAAATTCATGTAGATTCCCATAAAAATAAAGAAAAATTTCAAAAAAATTCCTTCATTGAGAAAAACGGCATCGAAAAGTCAAAGTGGGAACTGGTGGCCTAGCGGCCAGGTGTGAGTTTTCTAGGCCAACTGCCGGTAAAAGCGCGCGAAATTCGAATTTTTAGTGCTT